TTTGGTGCACTTCTTCAGCAAAATAAAGGGGTTGCACTTTACTTTACAGTACGTGTACTTGCATGTACTTACAGTGTACCTACCTAAGAAAGTACTGGTAATATAAGGTAACTACATGGGGTAGGGTTAGTTTTAGGGGTAGGTTCAGGGTAAGTACCTAGTTTTTACCTAGTTATTGTAATTATTAAAATAAGAACATAGTATGTACATGAGTAACAGGACTGTAAAATAAAGTGCTACCAATAAAGGTTTGTATACGTTTTATTTCATTTATAAAGTCTTTACTGTGCTGTAAATTATATTATTTTTGCGCAACACAACATAAGGACTAGGTGTCAGTCAGCTGCGTCAGCAGCGGTCGGTCGCTTCGCATAATGGAAATGCCTTTTGCTTTGCATAACATAAATTGATTTTATTCATTATAATACTGAGTTTAATTTAATTTGATGTTAAAATATGTTCTCTAATCTCAGTACTGTTTGATTATGGGCAGGTTATAGAGTCAGTCACGGCATCTTTCAGCTCTGAGTGAAACGCGAGGCCGCGGTCTGAAGTTCGCAGTTCCCCCCGCGAACAGCAGCCCTTCACCGGCTCAGATTTCGGTGACACACCGGCATGTGAATTAGCACTATTTCGGTAAAAAGCGATTACAGAGAACAGTTGGATACACTTAAATTAAAATGCTTCTTTTAAATATTAAATTTTTTATTTCTAAAATGCTCGTTAAACGAGTTAAAATATATGTAATATTGCAAACTATGCTGTATTCACCCAAATAAATTCAATTTGTATTTTGTCCATGTGTTCTTGCTTAATAAATGTTTATCTTTTGATTATTGCTGTAGCCTCTAGTAATTCTGTGTGTGATTTTTAATTTCCAGCCCATTTTAAGGCAGCAATATAATCATTTTTAAACAATAGTTGACTTAAATAAAACAACCCAGCATGTTTGGTAAAAACATTAACCCAACCAGCTGGTTCAAAATAACCCAGCATGTGTTCTGTCCAATATTTACCCAACGCTGGGTTGCCAAATAACCCAAGTTTTGTTGTTTTTAACTCAGCATTTTTTTAGAGTGTAGCTTCTGCTAACTGTCGTACATGCGTTAATGAGAGAGTGGTGTTCCAGCGAATGACGTAGGACATAGCAAATGTGGCTTGAAAGACTCTCTGAGAGCTGTGCTTAATACATGTCTACACTACTGACAATAGACAATAGATCTTTTTTTACCTGTGAAATTTCAACAAAATTTCACTAATGTGACTGCACCAAGGCATTTTCACATGGCATTAAAATAGTATACTACTGTGGGAAAAGAAGCATAAAGGTGTGATCACATTAGGATTTTTGCAGGCAAAGAAGGTCCATTGCCCAATATTACACTGATTCGTCTGGGAAATTATTTTGCCTCATCATGCATCCCTCATAAGAATTTCTAGATCACAGATTCCTATTGAGACGACAGCATTTCTCCTGTGGAATTTAGCTGTACAAAGGAAAATGTGCCCTCACCTTAAAATAGGAAATAATTAATTTCACAATCTATAGCTTTGTTTATTTAACATTATATGTAACAATTCAAAAGTCATTATTGGCCGTATTTACATAGTAACTAAGCCAGCATTTGTCATAAATCAAATATGCTGGATGAGTTATGTTGGAATCACTGGTGGACCCATTTGTTCATAACAATGGCATCTAGCTGTAGGGGCTAACAGGGTCATGCTAACTAGCTAAACATTGACCACATGATTCTACTAAGAAAACGTCTCAGTATACAGTGTACTGCAGTATGCTAGCATTCTATTCTAAACATAGCCTACAATGTTCGTGCAAGGCAGCAATATAATCATTTTTAAACAATAGTTGACTTAAATAAAACAACCCAGCATGTTTGGTAAAAACATTAACCCAACCAGCTGGTTCAAAATAACCCAGCATGTGTTCTGTCCAATATTTACCCAACGCTGGGTTGCCAAATAACCCAAGTTTTGTTGTTTTTAACTCAGCATTTTTTTAGAGTGTAGCTTCTGCTAACTGTCGTACATGCGTTAATGAGAGAGTGGTGTTCCAGCGAATGACGTAGGACATAGCAAATGTGGCTTGAAAGACTCTCTGAGAGCTGTGCTTAATACATGTCTACACTACTGACAATAGACAATAGATCTTTTTTTACCTGTGAAATTTCAACAAAATTTCACTAATGTGACTGCACCAAGGCATTTTCACATGGCATTAAAATAGTATACTACTGTGGGAAAAGAAGCATAAAGGTGTGATCACATTAGGATTTTTGCAGGCAAAGAAGGTCCATTGCCCAATATTACACTGATTCGTCTGGGAAATTATTTTGCCTCATCATGCATCCCTCATAAGAATTTCTAGATCACAGATTCCTATTGAGACGACAGCATTTCTCCTGTGGAATTTAGCTGTACAAAGGAAAATGTGCCCTCACCTTAAAATAGGAAATAATTAATTTCACAATCTATAGCTTTGTTTATTTAACATTATATGTAACAATTCAAAAGTCATTATTGGCCGTATTTACATAGTAACTAAGCCAGCATTTGTCATAAATCAAATATGCTGGATGAGTTATGTTGGAATCACTGGTGGACCCATTTGTTCATAACAATGGCATCTAGCTGTAGGGGCTAACAGGGTCATGCTAACTAGCTAAACATTGACCACATGATTCTACTAAGAAAACGTCTCAGTATACAGTGTACTGCAGTATGCTAGCATTCTATTCTAAACATAGCCTACAATGTTCGTGCATGATCACTACAGTACACCAACATGGTGACAAGAGAATCAATCCTTGTAAGACTGGAACCTGGAGCTTTTTGGAAAGCAGCCCATATCCACTAGGCTACACCACCTCCATTCCTTTTAAAAAGACATAGCCACTTGTTTTCTAAAAGAAGTATCAAAACCAACAGGCTTGAGAGCACAGAGCACCCCCAACCTGGCATCAAGCGTGAGAAACTCAGGGATCTCCTGAGGGCAAGAAACTTAACCCAGCAGAGGGGGAGGGAGAGAGAGAATGTGCACTGATGTTCAGCTTTATATATAAATATATGAGCCAAACTTAAGTCTATGGAGCGGGGAGGAGCTCTGCAGAAAGATGTGCAACTAAATAAACTGCTGGAGATATAAGTAAGCTGCTCTGTGCTGTTAAAGACAAGAGGAAAACTCCCTTACACACACACACACACACACACACACACACACAAACACGCACACAAATAGAATGAATGTCTGTCTGCTTGTCTGTTTTTAGATCTAAATCTTGCTTTCCTCTAACTTTATCCAGATGCCATGGCAGACTGGCCATGAATCATGTGACTTATCACTCCCTCCCTCTGCTGACTTCTCCTTTCTGTCTCTCATGCTGTCTCAGCTTTCCAGCAGTCTTTGTCTCTTGATGAAGATCTCTGGATTTCTTGTTCTCCATCCATCTCTGCTGTTCGGGGAGCGTTGATAGAACAAGACTAGCAAAGAAAGCGTGTGTGTGACTTTGAGGCGTAACACATTTTTGAAAATGACAGGAATTTAGCAAAACGTTTAAAATGTGATGATTACTTTCTAGAGCTTAAATTAAAATACAAAAATATGTCGTTAGGGATGAAGTAATTATAAATAGCTTAATTTAGGCTCACTTGAAATAACTTTATGGGAGGTTCTAATAAATTGGTGTGTGTTTGTGTGTGTGGAATAGGAATGGAAAGGAGGCAAGAAGAAAAAGAAGATTAATAAGGAGAGAATAACAAAGCAGAGGAGACTAGATGGGATGTGAGGAGAGGAGAAAAGACGAGGTGAGAGGTGAGATGAAGACAACAAAGTTGAGGAAAAGAAAGGAGACTTGAGCAAAAGAGGAGTTTGCATGCTGCAAACCAAGGTTAATATAGTTTTTAATTTTTAAATTAGTTTTATTTTAATATCGTTTTCAAATTTGCTATAAAATTCAGTTTAGTTTTTATTAGTTTCATTCATATTTTTGTTAGTTTTAGTTTAGTTTTTATTTTGTGAACGCATTTTTATTTCGTTTTTATATAGTTTAGTTTCAGTTTTATCGTTTTAGTCTTAGTTTTCGTTTACGAAAATAGCCTTGCTGCAAACAACTCAAGAAATTACCAGAATACTTCTCTCAAGTATTAAACACAAAAAGCATTGTCAGTGAAGAAAAGAAAACACAAATAACGCTAAACATCAGGAGGATTGCTGATATATGGGTTTAACCGGGACCAGACAGGGTCTGCAAACATGTTTCACATTTTCTGCCATGATTTTGGAGGGAAAACCTCTGGAATGGAGTTGGTAAAGTGCAGTAGACTGAGCTGGAAGTGCTTCAATCCTATTGGTAGCTTTATCAAATTATCCAAAACATTTAAAGGAATAGTTCACACAAAAATCAAAATTCTGTCATCATTTATTCTCCCTCAGGTTGTTGTTAGCTTGTATGACATTCTTTCTTCTGCAAAACGCAAAAGAAGATATTTTAAAGATTTTTGATAACCAAATTTTGGTGACCACTGACTTCCATTGTATTTTCTCAAAATATATTCCAAGTTCCACCGAAAGTAATTCATACAGGTTTGAGACAACATGAGAGAAATGGGAATTTCCAATTCTACTGTAAAAGTAAAGGTTCTTTACTGGTATCTATGTTCCCATTGAACCTTTCCATTTCACAAAATGTTCTTTATAGTGGAAAAAAGGTTCTTTAGATTATTAAAATGTTCTTCAAACTAAGAATAAATGGTTCTTTTAAGAACTGTTCACTGAAATGTTCTTTGGGGAACCCAAACGGTTCTCCTATGGCATCACTGCGACCCCATTTTTTAAGAGTGCAATTCCACATGGACTTGAATACATCAAACAGTTTTCGTCAGTATCTTATCAGGACATCAGAGCAACTAAAATGGACAAAACACTCTTCAATCCACTAAACCACCACAAACACAAACAGCAATGAAAGAAAAAGGCCAGTTACCAGAATGTCCATCATGCCTTGGCGGAGGGCAGCCTACTAGTCTTAAAATCCTCAATGATGTTAAATGCCTGGACACATGCATGTCATCCCCCCGCAGGCCGCGGACCTCTCCTTCACACACAAACACACACAGCACAGGCCGGAAAGCACAGGAACACACAAACAGGGAAACTGTAAGACACACACAGACACACAAACAGGGAGACAGAACGGTGAGGGAGAAAAAGAGAAACAGACTTTATATTAGTCACATCAAGCAAATGCTCACAATTAAATCTATGACTTTGTGTTTTATGAATAATTCAGTCAGGCATGTTAAGTTTAATAATCTACTAAAATTAGCATATGGTAGCAGAATGTGAAACGTTTTTTTTTTTTTTTTTAATTATTGTTAAGGGGGAGATTAAGACTAAACAAGTAAACACCCTGGACAGATGAGCCAGTCCATCACAGGAATTTTAAAATATAAGTGCATAAATCATGGAAAAATCACCTTACAAAACACTCAAACTTACAAAAATGTTTCACACTGTGCCCTAACCAAATATGAAGCAATGATGCAACAAGGTTAGACTTGTCTCTCATTGGTCCAAACCCCTCCTCCACATTTACACTATGTTCAAAAGTTTAGGGTTGGTAAGATTTTTAGATGCTTTTGAAAGCTCTTATGCTCACCAAGGCTGAAATTATTAAATAAAAATAAAGTAAAAAAACAGTACTATTGTGAAATATTATTACAATTTGAAATAACTATTTTCTTTTTAAGTATGTTTTAAAATGTAATTTATTTCTGTGATACAAAGCTGAATTTTCAGCATCATTACTCCAGTCTAATAATATGAACATTTCTTATTAATATCAATGCATAAAACAGTTTTGCTGCTTAATATTTCTGTGGGAACTGTGATAGGCCTACTTTTTTCAGGATTCTTTGATGAATAGAACATTATTATAAATGTATAAATGTCCATTTTGATCAATTTAATGTGTCCTTGCTGAATCGAACTATTAATTTCTTTAAAAAAAAAAACACTCTTTCTAACCCTAAACTTACCCTAACCCTAACATAAAAAAATTTTCTGATTTGTTGTGATTGTGTCACATCATGCAGCTTCCTTATATTCATTGTGGAAAGACAAAGTACTTGCTGCTGGAAGCTCATCTCATCATCTCAGCTTTCCATATAGCTTAATTTGACATACACAAAATAAGGGCTTGGGGTGTTCATACATTCTCTGGCCAGTGAACTTCCATGATTTTTCAATTACCTTTATGTTTATGGTGACTAGATGAGGAATGTTAAAAGCATATCATAGACTGCACTCACAAAGATGGAAGAACTGAACATAATTTAAAAAAAGAAAATAATAAAAACATTTTCAATGACTTTTTAATGATTCTTTTAATTTCCATGACTTTTACAGGCTTGGAAATTACACTTTTTAGTTCCCTGGTATTTCCAGGACCATGGGAATGCTGGGAATGAACTATTCAATCTATTCAGTAGGTTGCATCTTAATGTCATAGGTCACATATGATTTTCACTACCAATGTTTTTGGGACTTTCTATACCTGTAAAACACTTAAAACATATTTTCAATGTTTTGTTGGCTGATCTATTCACATCAAAGTACATATTAGCCTTGTTTCCATTCACATTGAATCAAATATGGCACCTAATCCTATGATCCATACTGTACAGAAAATATCATACAAATGACATGAAATCAAATCGACTCTGCTAAACATCAAAGTCTAGTACGTCTAATTCATTTTGAGAACTTAACCAATATCGAGCATTATTAAATCACCATGCATTGCTTGTCTAAACTTTTCTAAAACGTGAAATAAAGATCTGCCAAGAATCGCCCACAAATCATGATAAAATCAGCCCCAGATGTCCAGCCAGCTGCCACGATCCTATGCCACTCTCATATACACACAGATTTGAGCTAAAAGGTCAATCAGTCCATGACCCAATGAACAACTGGCATATGGTCTTAAATATGACTGAACATTGTACTTTTATTAATATTTATCATATTTAATTAACGTTCATATTAATATTAATGCATGCAATAGTACTTCTACAACCACTACTGCTAATATAATCTTACTTCCCTCAATACTCTCATTAAAACAATAAACTATTAATAGCACTATAGATCAGACTGATACTTACATGGCTGCAGGTTTTGTGGGGTAGATACATATCTCTGGACTGTCAACTAACCTCTACTAGATCTTCTGGTGAGGTGTTTGTGACTACGTAGGGAACTAAAGGCACTGCTGAGTCTGCTATGGCCAAAATCTCCTACTTCCCTTTTGACACTGTGAAGGAGAGAGGAAGAAGGGGAGCTACACATGAAAAGAGGAAACGGTCAACAGAAGACTGGGGAAGAAAAGCGGACATTGGCGAGGACATGCGTAAGAAAAAGCAGAGACGGAAAGCAAAAACATGAGCGCTCAATAGGGCTGGGCAAAAAAAAAAATCGATTTTCCGATTAATCGTTTTTTTAAATGAGTCGATACCCAGCCCTAGCGCTCAAAGTAGGAGGGAGTGGTCTTTGTTAGCCAGCCTCTCCACAGGCACAATGTGATGTTTCAGTGATGCATATATTATGAAATTGCATTTGGAAACAGAGATAAGAATTGTTTGGCCTGAAATGAATACTCTGTCATCATTTATGGTGTTCCAAACCTGTATGACTTTCTTTCCTCTGTGGAAAATATATTTTGAAAACTGTGCTGGTTGCTGTTTTCCATGCATTTACATAGAATGGAGAATAGAGCTTTCAAGTTTCAAAAGTAACAAAAAATTCACAATAAACATTTAAAGAGATAATTCACCCAAAAATTCTGTCATTAATAGTAAGGGCATTGTTAAAATAGTCCATGTGACATCAGTGGTTCAACCTTTATTTTATGAAGCTACGAGAATTATTTTTGTGTGAAAAGAAAACAAAAATAACAACTTTTTTCAACAATTCGGATTTCATCAAAAATATCTTAACATGTGTTCCAAAGATCGAAGGTCTTGCAGGTTTGGAACGACATGTGGGTGAGTAATTAATTACAGAATTTTCATTTTTTTGGTGAACTATCCCTTTAAATCAAAAGTGGTTCATAGGACTCCACTCATGAATTGATCATATGAAGACATACAATAGAATTGTAAGAGGAACAGACTGAATCATTACTTGAGGTAATAATTAACATTATAATCTTCCCACCAGTCAGCTGTTAATTTGAGAATCACTGCAACTGAATCACCAAGTCAGTGAGTTGAATACTAAAACAGAATCTGTCTAAATCATAAATTAATAATTCAAACTGATTTTATAAACAGAATCAATGATTCATTGAAATGATCTGACTCGAACGGTTTGGACGGAAGAACAAAGAGGGAGATTTTCAGTTGGTAATGACTTAAATTTCAATCTATTTCTCACGCAAAGGAATCATGTCTTCAGAAGGCTTGGAATATTACAAAAAAAAAAATTGTATGCATTACTTTATGACACTTTTTGCATCTTTTTTCTGAAGCTTGGAAGAAGCCTGTTTATGGAAAATAGTGACCAGTATGAAGTCATACTGCTTTAGAAAGACATGAGATGGGTAAGTAAATAATGTTGCAAGACATGATGTATTGGACTGTAGAATGCAAAAGTAAATTAAAATATACATTTAGTGTAAAAGGGGTCATCGGATGCAAAATTCACTTTTACATGTTGTTTGAACTGAAATGTGTGTTGGCAGTGTGTGTACACAACCACCCTATAATGATAAAAATACACTTAGTGTTTTTAAAAAAAAATCCAGATAAATAATATACCCTTTTTCAAATCAAGCCGTTCTCAGATTCTTGACTGTGTGACGTCACACAGACCAAAGCCCCTCCCACGATTGTTGATTGACACGGCTGTCTTACCTTAGACCTGCCCTGAGTGAGCTGTCTTCAGTCTGCCATTGTTTTGATGCCGGAGCGGTTGTAGATAAGAATGTCTCTTAAGCGACTGAGGCGTTTTGTTGTTGGATGTAATAATGAAAATAGCAGTCATTATTTACTCCTGGCATCTGAGCCGCTGAAGACGCGCAGTGGATTACATTTGTTTATGAAGGGAATGCATCCCCCGATCTGACTAAATGCGTTTATGTTTGTGCGAATCATTCGTGATCCAGCCTCACCAGAAGAAGTGAGTATAAGGGTTTTTAATGAATTTTGCAAATCGCTAATAATGTGCTAATTAGCAAGTTTCACGATGAATGTGGCTAAAGTTTACAGTCTCTCATAGAACTGCGCATCACCCCAAGGAGGGAGAGGGGCGGGGTAAGCAGGGCTCATTAGCCTTTAAAGGGAAATGCACTGAAACGGCTTGCTGTGAAAAGAGCAGTTTTTGACAGAGAAAAAAGGGTGTTTTACACTACCATTGAGAAATTTTAAACCAAAGTATGTTATAGACTTTTCATTAAGACCCTAAAGAATCATATCAACTTGTGGAAAATGGGTATCCGATGACCCCTTAAAGAGAGAAATAGAAACAAATAGAAACAGGAAGTACAGAGGAAAGTGACAGAGAAGAGTGAAAGAAATGAGGATTGTGAAAGATGAAGAAGATAAGAGGAGGAAAGAGTAGAGTGATGAAAGAAAGAGAGAGAGAGAGTTTTCTTACAGCGACACCACGCTAATCTGTTGGGGACTTGCACTTCAGCCTTTCCCATCAACCCACAAAACAACAATGGCGCAATAAACTCTTGTTCACACAAGTTGTTTATGTGTTTATATACACTTGAATTCTTAGGTTGTAAACTGAAGGGTCATGACCCAAAACTGAGTTCTGTTCTGACAGGGTTATGGACAGCAACGATATAAACAATACTAAATGCAAAATAAATGTTTTGTAACACCATACATTTGATTGCGGGAATATAATTAGATGTGTTTGTTGCAAAAGCCTTGCATTCAATCAAACTTGATAGTATTTTGGCCTATATTCATTTTTCACTTGGTAAAGTGAAACTTTTGAGTCAAAAGTTGCTTGACATGACCTCATCCTTGAAAACCATCAAAAAAACTGGGCATGATGCCTGTCTTTATCAGGGATGGGTCCTGATTCAACTCCTGATTTAAATTTTGTTAAACTATTTTAAAGTTTGTTTCACAGATGTTC